AAAGAAAGAAGTAAAAGTAATTAATTACTGTGTTTGATTTAGATGATAAAGTTGGATTGGCCTATTTTGCCCTCTCACACGGATCCAAAATTCAGATCACCGGATTCGCACGAAGAGAAACACCATCGTCCTCCTCCGAGAGAGGAGCTTTCATTTCAATCTGTGAGATCTCAGACCCTTTCTCTTCTCGCGTATTTGATATCGCCGCCCGAGCTTTTTACTGTTTTCGATCGGATTGTCCTAATCGCGTTGAGGTTCATTCTCGTCTCTGTCAGATCAGGATCAAACATGGGTTTCCTTGTAACAACTCTAATCTTCGTCGTCGTTGGGGTCATTGCTTCACTATGCGCTAGAATCTGCTGCAATAAAGGTCCCGCCACGAATCTGTATGTTCCTTTGCTTCCCTTTTCATTTCTTTTGATTTTGATTTCGATTTCTCAATGTTGGGTAGTAATTGGCCGTCGCTTATGGTTAGTGGGGCAAAATTAGATTTAGTTGCCTAGGATTTGATGCCGTGTGAAGATCGAATAGCTGGAAATCAATAGTTTCTTGCTCCTGGAATTGAGAATTCGAAAATGAAATATTTAATGATTCATTGACTTTTGAAACAATCTCCAATTTCTTTGAATTTGGATACTTTCTGTGATAATGTCTGCAACAAACACGAGTATGTAAGAGAAAGTAGTGTCACAATTGCATTCTTCTGCCCTGAAGATTCAGAATCTCTTATAAATTGCCTTTACTGTGTTCTTTGTTTGCCATCAAGCTTATTTGATCTGTCTTCCTTATTTATTGGCTGCTTTGCTTTGAATATGGTTTTGCAGTCATGTTTAGCATGGAGTGTAAAAGATCTAATGAATCTTTGTTTGTCTGATCCAGGCTACATCTTACCTTGGTCATTACTGCAACAGTCTGCTGTTGGATGATGTAAGTTTAATGTTTGGTACACTCTTTCTGTTGCTTTCTAACCACTGGTTGCATTTTACTACCATTGTTCCTCATTTGCTAAGTATGGGGACAATCATGTGTTTCTTCTTCCTTAGTTTTTTACTTGTTGCCAAAAGACCTGTTATTGTTTCATCTCCTTAACCCGTAAACCTTTAAAAGAGATCAATCCTATTCGCTTAACTCCATTTTCCTGTGGATAAAACTACATATCTACAATAAATGAATAAAGTAATCAATCAACCATTGTTGTATTCTGAAACTAACATATAACTTAACTCATAAACATTTCGTTTACCTATAACGTTCTGAATATCGAGTTTGATTCTATGTTTGGTCGCATTTTCTTACCTTTGTCTCTTGATTATGGTAGGTGGGCAATTGTATATATTGCACAGATGAATCCTCTGATTGTCCCAATCCTAAGCGAAGTAGAGAAGTAGAGTAGAATCCTCTACTCAGACAAAGAACCGAATGTCTTCAAATTAGTAAAAAGTTATGCGCAAAGTGAGTAATACCGGGTGCTAGCTTCTCTCCGATCCTTTTGTATCTTCAAATCTTTAAACGGTTTTTCTTGTTTGTAATTCTTATCCTGATGGTGAACAAATCAAAAAGCTTTTGGCCTCTTTACTATTGAAAATTGTCTTGTATTTTCACTTCCCATTCGACTCTCGAAAACAGCTGAGATATACTCACAAAGACTCCCAGACTGTGTTTTGTTGATGAAATAATGTCTTGAAAGGGTAATAATCATGGTTTCTGATGTTGCAATTTTCAATTTTGCTGTATCTTTTGGTTCAATTTATACTATTTTCATGCGAAACGGTGTCGTTTAAAGTGAGTTTGAGTAAAGGGAAATGAAAAGGGTCCACTCGATCTCTTTACCTTTCCTTTTGTGAGAGAAGCGACCACACTCAAAACTGTGTTGATATTTTTCTTCCTTCGTCGACACTAAAACCCTAAAAAAAAAAAAAACATTTTTTGTCTTTTGTTTCTCTCTCTTGAACTTCAGAGAGAAAGTAAAACAAAAATGGCGATTATTCCGTTGGCGCAGGTTAACGAGCTAACGATTTCTTCCTCATCTTCTTCCTTTCTTGCGAAATCGATGTCACATTCGTTGCATAGTAGCTGCGTTTTTGCAAGTAAATTCGGTGTCGGATTCTCGAAACGAAGAAGCGATTCAAGGTCTAAATCGATGCGGCTAAGTTGCTCCTTCTCTCCGATGGAGTCTGCGAGGATTAA